ACATTCACTCCCTCTGAGGATCAGCTTCCCCCAAATGGAGGGGACATTACCTCCCTTGGTTCCTGTTACAGACAAGTGACTGGCCCTTTCCTGTTTCTATCAAAAAAGGCAAACTAAAGGAGAGTCCTAACCATGTGTGGGCCGAGGCGGATGTTTGGACCTACCAGCTATGAACAGGAATGGGAGTGGCAGAGTGGAAGCGCCTGGCATAGACTTGCTCCTGGGGATTCCAGATTTACTAACCTACTGTTCTGGGCTGCCCATGAATCCATTTGATGCCTAGACATTGATGTGTCCCAGCTCTGCTCCCAGAAACAGATCTATTTGTGAGCCATGACACCTTTTCCCTAGGTAGACAGTATTGGGTCAGAACACATATGATGTTCACTTTCAGTTTTGCAAGATGCTTCACTTCTATTAATAGCGTATAAATAGCACATTCCTTAATATCTTTTTTAAATGGTGAAGATTTAAAATTACCAGTCTAATGGACATGAAATGGCACTTCATTGCTGTTTTGTTTTGTATTTCACTAATTACTGGGTTTACAACTCAATTTTAAGACTGAATTTGTTTTCAAATATTAGCCATTCTGGTTTCTTCAACTGGCAAAATTGACTGTTTTTAGTCTGTCAATTTTTCTTATGGGATTTCATCTCTTATAGATTTGCAGGAGTCTTAAAAATTAATTATGGATACTAAACCTGTTTTGGTAAAATATTTAATGAATATCTTCCTCCAGTCTATGACTTTTCTTGTGACTTTACTAATTGTGTCTTTTGATGCAGAGATATTTTAAATTATAACTTAGTCAAGATCTGTATTTGAAATGTCAAACTGTAAACCTCTTAGAAGTTATATATATGTGTATAGCATAAATAATAGATTCAGTGAATATGTAATACTTTTATTAGACTAGCAAATCACCATTTGATCCAACCTATATTTCTTAACTAATTTATAAAGCTATTTTTATGCTATACCAAATTCTCACACTTACATGGGTTTATTTCTGAGCTATATATTCTGTTTTACTGGTCTATTTGTATATTCTTGGACTGATACCACATTGTCTTAATTACTATGGCTCTGTATTAAGCCTTGACATCTTGTAAAATAAATTTAACCATTTTATTCTTTTTCAGAGTTATCTCTACTCTCTGTGGCATTTTATGGAGTCCTGTAACTGTTAGGATTGTTGGTCAAGTTCCATGAAATACCTTGTTTGTGTTTGAATTGGCAATGAGTTAAATTTACTAGATGGAATAATCCCCATCATGATATTGAGCTATCTCATCCATAAAGGAATTATTTTATGTCCAACAAAATTTTATAATTTTTCCTATATTAGTATCTTGCATATCTTCTCTTGTATATATTCCTTGTAAAGATATTGTTATAAGGATAAATGAAAAATTTCCACTTTAATTATGCTTTCTAGTTTCTTATTGCTGGTAGGAGTGTACTTTTTGTATAATCATCTTGTGTCCAACAACCTTGTTGAATTAGCTTGTTGTTATAATTTATAGATTCTCTTCGATTTTAAACATTTAGGCAATCTTTTCAGTTATGGAAGAAGAAAATGTTGCTTCCTCCATTCCAATTATACTTCTTTTCTTTTTTCTTTTTTTAAATTTCACTTTGTAGGCTCTTCAGTACACTAGGCTGACGGAGGTCTTCTGTTACTGGGAATATTTCTGGAAAATTTTCATGGGCTTCATTTTTTGTTTCTCATTTATTGTGTTCTTCTCATAGTAATGTTACCCTTTTCTATTTATTAAATATGTTGGCTTTTCCTCTACCAGGTGAATAATCACAGGTAATTCTACCCTCAGGGAAATGAGAAGTTTGGGAAGTTTGCTCAATGTTTCAGTTCAAGAGTGCCCTCTTCTGTTAGAACACTAAAGTTTTAATAATGACACCTGTTGGGGCGGTAAGACATGGGAGGGAGGGAAGGTCTACTGATAATGTGATAATATCTTATAGTTTTATGGTCTTTAATTTCTGGTGTTTGTCTCCTTAATTTTCTTTATCTTCCTAGTCACCCTCCTCTTTCCCAGAAGCAGTACCCTCCCACTACTGCCATTCTGGACCTTCCTACTTGGAAGACCATGGTTCACATGCTCTTGTCTCAAGCCAGTCCTCAGTACCACCCCTCTTCAAGGAAGGACACTACTTTTCTGGAGGTGATATCCTCTGTGTCCTATCCTCCCTACAGAGCTTTTCCTGTCTTCCACAGCATCTTTGCCTCATTCATTTCCAGCACAGGCATTCATCTGGCTCTACCGAATGGACTGTTCTACTTACCTACATGTAAAGTGAGGTTTGCGGTGAAAAAGACGAAATTACAGCACATGTAAAGATTCATATTGGCTTTTATTTGTGCTTTAGAATTAAGCAGCATCTCATCCTATAAAATAAAATGAGTGCTCTGATGAGCTGAGCAGAAAATTTTGGTTTTATAAACAGAGAAAGCTAAAGAAAGCAGAAACAGAACAAAAAAACTGTTTCAGAGTTATTTTCTTTGTATAGATTAAGCCATAGGGGTGTAAACCTGGCTTTTATGGGATCTTCTCTCCCCACTTCCTCTCTCCCTCTCTTCTTCTATCTCTTCCTGATTTCTTGGGAGATAAATTAATTTAGGTTTGATGGCATGGAATTAAGCATGAGTGAATCCTATTTAACACTAGTATTTCCCATTCTCCATTGTGCTTTGCATGTGATGTTTTGTTGTTGACCTGTGTGGTTTAGGAAAGCAGACCTATGTAGAGATTTAGATTTAAGGAACCAAAGGGCTAAGGAATGTGTTACATGCTTCCTCTAAGACTAGAGATTTGGCATTTTGTCTTTGTGATTCTGTTTCCTTCTGCCTCATGTATGTTGTTAGGTTATTGACTTAGGATTGTTATAGATTTTTTTGGTGACTTGTTCCTTTATTCAATGAGTAATAATATTTATAATTAGTAATTTTTGTCTAAGTTCTTTACATGTTATTAATATAAAATTTTTTTCTTGGTTAGTTAATATTTGCTGTATATATAATATTTATATATTTTTACTTTCAAACTTTGAAAGTATGTTTATTTTTAGCTATTAAATCACATAGTTGAGCATTTAAAAACACAGCTTGATACTCATTTTGTCTGAGAAAAACATTTTCACTGAAGAGTGTAACCTATTTATTTTCATTGTGATTACTGAGGAACTTAATTTTATTTTATGTTTTTAATTTATCTTGTGATCAAAATCACTTCCCCTATACCTTTTAATCTCTTTTCCTTTTTTGTTAGATTGGTGTCTCTCCCAGTATTTCTCTCTCACCCACTTATTTTCTGGTTATGCTTCCAATGTCTGTTCTTTTGGTCATGTGTACTCAAAATCTAGTGAGCATCACAATCACCTGGCCAGATTGTTAAAGTACAGATTTTGTGGCTCCACCAACAGATTTTCTAATTCAGTAGGGTTAGGGTAAGACCCAAGTACAGTTGGCCCTCCATAGCTAAAGGTTTCACATGCACAGATTCAATAATCCACAGGAGAAAACATTTTTTGAAATATTGAAACAAGTGTTTATACTAAATATACACGGATTTTTCTTGTCATTGCTCCTTAATACACTAGAAGAACAATTTACCTAGCATTCACATTACATTAGGTCTTAGAAATAATTTAGAGATGATTTACAGTGTGTGGGTGGCTGTGCACAGGTTATATTCAAATACTACACTATTTCACACAAAGGGCTTGGGCATCCACAGATTTTGGTACCTTCAGGGTACCTGAAACTAGTCCTTTTTTAATACTTAGGGATGATTGTAGTTGCATTTTTATCAAATTCCCAGGTTCTGTTGTGATTCTGGGAACCACGCCTTGAGACCCAGCAGAAATAGTTGGTTATCACCAATTTAAATACTAGTAATCTGTACATAGCTCATCTACTTTGTTATTATTTTGGGATTCTTGTTGAATTCTCTAAGAAACTAGATGGTGTGTTTGACCATCTACTCTTATAATATTGACAGGAATAGACGTAGTGTTTTCATTTCTCATTGGAGAATAGTTTTTGTCTTACACTAAATTCCAAATAAAGAGACATTTTCATGCAAGTTTCTCTGTCCTGGTAGATGGGCTTTCTCTGGTCTCAAATGTACTGTCTGTAAGATTCTTCATTGTGGGCCGAGGTTTTAGCTCAGCGGTTCGGTGGCCTGCCTTGCAAGCACAATGACCCGAGTTCAATCCCCGTACCAAAAAAAAAAAAAAAAAAAAAAAAAAAAAAA